TTTGTTTTGCAGAATATCTACAAGTCTTCTGATTTTTTTACCTTTGAAATGGTAGACTTTTATAGAGTTTTGGGGACTATGGACATTTATACATGTGCTTTGGGGGGAGGGGGTGCTTTAATTAAAGTGCCCAGAGTATCACATCTATCAGCATCTCTGCACTGAAAAATGACAGTGGGGGCACTTTAACTAAAGCCAGAAGCCAGAAAAGGAGCCTAGGGGAAGACAGAGAAAGCAAAGTGGCAAACTCCCCACTAGTTTGAACACAGCAGAGATGGCAAAAGACTTTTACCAGGGGGAGCAGAATAGATCAGGTGACAGGAAAGGGGGAGGGGCTAGGGAGTATAAAAGCTCACTCCAGATGAGAGAAAGTCAGCCAAGCTCTGACCACAGAAAAAGATGGATTGTCCTTACCAGATGGAGAAAAGGCTGTGATAGATGGAGTAAGTAGCTCCAGAAAGGGAGTAAGTTTCCATTGGGCATGCTACTCAAAAAACAAAAAATCCCAATGGGTTAAACCCTGAGCTGGGGACTATGTCCATTTACCGCAACATGGGGAGGAACTTTAAATTGAAATTTCTGGTCAATGGGTACCTGGTAGAAGGAAAGCAGCTACAAGGGGAGATGAGGCGGCCACATAAAAGGTGCCTCAACAGCCTTAGTGATACCCTCCCATCGGAAGAGGAAGTCAGTGGTACAAGGATAAAAACCCTGAGGTGGGTACCAGGGTCTTAAGGGCCTGCTGCCATGGCTGAAAGGGTTAAGTAGTGTGATTCCTGAGTCCAAGGCTCTGGGTTTTAGACCCTGGAGAAACAGAAGCACAGAAGTTGCTTCAGACTTACTTACAAAAAGTATGTCTGAGAGTCCAGAGAGTCTGTGGCCCAGAAGAGGCTCAGGGGTTGAGGTGGAGAAGCTACAGTTGAGATAAGACAGAGAGACAGCTAGTAAATACCAGAAGCTTTGCTGGCATGGTACAACTTAGTTATCAGGCTCCTCTACTCTCTGCTTTGGGCAGAGGCAGGACATCTCTGTATCACTTCTTTTTAGCAAGGCATGGCAGGAGAGTCGGGATCAAGGAGATTTCTAAGAAGACCGAGGGATGACAGAACTGGCTTCAATAAGACAGAGAGGAAGATGAAGAAAAGTGTGGGTCCCCAGGCTACCCAATAGAAGCAACCTAATGACAGCTGATGTGGAAAAGGTTGAAGTATTCAATGCCTTTTTCACTTCAGTCATCACAGGCAAGGGCAGCTCCCCATTTCCTGCACCTGGCAGCACAGTTTAGGGGGGAAATGGGCAGGAAACAATGGTGAAAGAACAGATTAGGGACTATTTAGAAATGCTGAACCTGTACAAGTCCGTGGGGGCTGGTCGCAATGCATCTGAGAGTACCGACAGAGTTGGGTGATGTGATTGCAGAGCTGCTGGCCATTATCTTTGGAAATGTGTGGCCATTGGGGGAGGTCCCAGATGATTGTAAAAGGGCAAAAATAATACCCATCTTTAAGGAAGGGAAGAAAGAGGATTCAGGGAACTACAGACCAATCAGCCTCATTGCAGTCCCTGGAAAAAATCATGGAGCTTGTCTTCAAAGAATCCATTTCTAAGCACTTGGAGGAAAAAAGGGTGATTAGGAATAGTCAGCATGGATTCACCAAGGGCAAGTTATGCCTGACCAACCTGATTACCTTCTGTGACAAGATGACTGGCTCTGTGGATGTGGGGAAAGCAGTGGGCAAGATATACTTTTACTTTAGTAAGGCTTTTGATATGGTCTCCCAAAACATTCTTGCACGCAAGCTAAGGAAGTATGGGTTGGATGAATGGACTGTAAGATGGACAGAAAAATCCTGGATCATCAGGCTCAAAGTGTAGTAATCAATAGCTCTATGTCTAGTTTGCAGACGGTATCAAGTGGAGTGCCCCCAGAGTCGGTCATGGGGCCTGTTTAGTTCAGTAACTTCATCAATGATTTGAAATGGGATGGAGTGCACCATCAGCAAGTTTGCAGATGACACCAAGCTGGGGTAGTAGTAGATACATTGGAGAGTAGGGTAGGATTCAAAGTGACCTTAACAAATTGGAGAATTGGACCAATAGAAATCTTGAGGTTCAATAAGGACAAGTGCAAAGCTCTGTACTTAAGATGGAACATTCCCATGCACTGGTACAAGCTGGGGACCAACTGGCTTAGCAGCAGCTCTGCAAAAAAGAACTTAAGAGGTATAGTGGACAATAAGCTGCATATAAGCCAACAGCATGCCCTTGTTGCAAAGAAGGCTAACAGCATACTGGGCTGCATTAGTAACATCGTTTCCCTCAATCTGCTGGCAGTAATTATTCTCCTTTATTCAATAAGGAGCAATGGTCTCAAGTTGCAGGAAGGGAAGTTTAGGTTAGATATTAGGAAAAACTTTCTCATGAGGAGAGTAGTAAAGCACCGAAACAGAGAGGATGCCACAGAACTTGTGGAATCTCCATCCATGGAGTTTTTTAAGACCTAGGTAGATGGAGCTTTGGCTGGGATGATCTATTTGGGAATGGTCCCGCTTTGAGCAGGGGTTTGAACTAGATGACCTCCTGAGGTCATTTCCAACCCTAATTTTCTATGGTTCTGTGAGGGATCCCCTCCACTCAAGTCCTTTTATAGTTCCCAAACAACAATCTACTGTTGGAAGAAGAGACATTTCTACCGCCACCCAACAACCCAGTAGCTAGAGTATTTGTGTAGCTGTGGAGGATGCAGGTTTAATTCCCAATCTGCATATAGGGATGTGTGCATGTGTGGGGAGCTTTCTTCTACCCACTAGTTGGAACACTTACCTAGGCTGTGAAAGATCCAAGTTCATTTCTTTCCTTCGCTTGTGGTAGTTTCTCCACTTGGCTTATGGTTGTCGAATCCACATCTTTAATCTTCCACACAAATGCTTTAACCATGAGGCTATGTAACATTTTAAGGTATCCTCAGAGGTGACAATGTTTCCCTTGGAGGTAGAGGCATGGGTTAATATTGTCCCAAAGGAGAGATTAAAACTGTTGACCCCATTGTGTGTGCCCACTGTGTACTGTTGGATAATGGATTCAACACTATTGCTGCTACCTTTTCCTCCTCCAGCCATGTTTTGTGACAAACACATAGCTTAAGTATCCAATTTTAGGCTTAGTCAGAAGGACACAAATCTGAAAATTAGAAGCCCTGGGTTATGACCTCTGACCTGGTGATAGGGGTGGGGGTTTTTTGGGGGGAGGGGTTGTGGGTTTTTTTGTAACTTGAATGTAATATTTTTTTACCCACAGCAGTGGGATAGTGTCTGCCCCATTTGGGGGAAAGGGCTGATTCACTGATTCACATTCCCTTTGCTTTGCTTTCCTCTTGATTCCACTCATCTTCTCTCCTTGGCTACATAAAGGACCAGCTTCAATAGGAGAGTGTCTGAGCAATATCTAGTTTGTCATGCTGGAACAATTTGTTGAGAAGAGGAAGATACAGTTCAACAAGATACTTCTACATTTGGGTCCTAGAACACTTGTCTCTGACTCTGGACAAGTGCCCTGACCATTAAGCTATTAGGCTAAAAGGCAGGATGGTCCTCTTCTATTTTTCTTCAGGCAGTTACCAACCTACCTGGGTGATTCTATTCCACTATATGGAGAAATGGAATCTAAGATTTGTTTGAGTGCAAAAAATTGAATTTGCACAGTTACATAAGTTCTTCTTAGAAGTCTAAAACTGAGATAAATATTTGGAGCCAAATCCTATTTGCAGTGGGATAAATGGTTTGTAACTATTAAGAAAGTATATTTACATATATTATTGTAACATGGAGCCTGTGGCCCCTATTACTGAAAGCAGTTAAAAGAAAAGAAGCTTAGCCAATCAGTGGCGAGATGCCTGGGAGGATGACATCATTAGCTCGTACTGGGAACTTCCTCTGCACCTGAGGAGCTGAAAAACCTGAAAATTAGTAATTGAAAATGACCTACTTAAAAGGTCAAGGAGTGAAACAAGACATCCCCCAGAAGGAGAACAGAGATCTGTGGCACTGAGACAGAGAGCAATGGAGCAGAGTTCATGCGGAAGCATGAGAGAAGCCAGAGAGTGATGTCCCCTCTGGAGGCCAATACTGGGTAAAACCTCGACTGGAGATCATTCTGTCTATCTCCAGAACCAGGTAGACCAACTTTAATTAGAAACTTTTTGACTGGATTGCTGACCAGCTGGCCGGATTATAAATAGACTGTGCCAAGTAGTTTCGCAGAGTAGAGGAGGAGGGGCTGAAGCCTGAAACCCCACTTTGCGAAGAGACTTATTAGTAACTACTTCCATGTTGTGTTTTTGTGGGTCTTTGCATTAAAGACCTAGTACCCTCAAGTGTTGTGTTACCTAATAACCAGATGTGGGGTTTGCTTTTGGAGAGTAAGATAATATCCAGATATGGAGGCACTTAGAGAATAAAAGTGTAAGAAGACCAATTCAACTGTAATTAAGAACACTGAGTTATCTGCATGTTATATTTTGAACTAATTCCCATCAAGTCATGGCAGGCGAGGAAAAACGCATGCGGGAAGCTCTGAGTTGAAGCTTTTCCCATTTATAATTGGTTTTAGGAACACCTGCTCACTATTATATAGTTTTAAAACAAGGCAGAGATTCTTGCATGCAAGGGTCTCTGTAAAAGCTGGAGTGAAGCTGTTATCATTTTTCACAAGGAAAACTAAATGGTTTTCCAGAAACAAAGCAACTGGAGGGAGTGAATTACTCTGTATCTCACATACAGTGAACATCTTATGTAGTAGAATCCAAAAGGGAAGTTGAAGTTTAAACCTCTAGGGAGCCATCTGGATAACTTTGTGAGAGTAAGAGGTAACTTTATCATCTTTTGGTTCTTGTTCCACATTCTCGGAGGCCATCCATCTCCTGCAGGAAAGAAAATGAAAATGGACAATTACCTTGCTCAAACCGAACAGGAAGGTTAGTTATCTGCACTGCAGTGTGTGAGAGAATTCTACCTTATGTGCTTATTTATTTCCCTTTGTTCACCTAAATGACAGTTCTCTAGCCACATAAGTGGTGGTTTTGGGCTCTTATGCGGAGGTTGCGATTCAGTTACTGGGGATGTCTCAGCATGTACATATAGACTAGAAGGTTATGCACTAGCCTGACAGGTACATGGCTATGCATATACAGGAAGCAAGGAGGGGAAGGAACTTTTTATGCTTTAACCCCATAGCTGAGTAGTTGGGGCACTTAGGAAGTAAGAGACTTGTGTTCTAGCACTGCCCCTTTCTGCACTGGGCATTTGAACCTGTGTTTCTCTGACTTCCTAGTATGCTTCTCTACCCACCATACCAAAGGTCAGAAACTATTCAAATGCTTCTCCAGAGTTCCTTCTGAAGCTAAGTGACTGCCCCTTACATTGATTAGTCATTGGATAAAAAGGATACCAAGCAGTGCAGTGGGAGCATAGTCTAGACTAGAACCCAGGGCCCCCTTCCTGTCAAAAGCAGCAGCCAACAGAGACACAAACCTTTTAGCTTGCTCTTTTCCCCCTGGCCCTACATATCTCTCTAGCTTGGCTGCCCAGTGAGCCAACTTCAAAAGCAGCACAGAAAACAGTACTCAACAATATGTAACCTGTAACATGGTTACAGTACTGTTAGGAAATGTGACCAAATCTTTTTTTTTTCTTTCTGCATCTTCTTCAATGTTTAACAGCCTTTTAAAAATGTGGACACAAAAACTGTCTGCAGTGTTCCAGTACCACTCTAACTGATGCTGCACAGAGAGGTAAATCACCTCACCATTCCAGTTTCATCTTCTGTGGCAGGGCACCTTTGATGCCTGCCACTTTAAGGGCTTGAGCATGCAGTAGAGCAGCCTGCAGGTGACATCAGAGCCAATAAGGGGGTCATATAGCAAAAGGGAGGCTACCTGATTGGAGGAGGGCTTGGCTCCTTGAGCATAAAACTAAGCCCAGGGAACAGGGGCAGCAGTTGCAACTGGGGAGCCAAAGGGTGAACATCTCCTATCTGGAGTACTGGTGTTTCCAGAATATCTAGAGGACAGGATAGGAACTATGGGGATGGAGGAGGTTCCTGGTTCTGGGGCATGACCTGAAACTACACCCTGCTGGGGTTGGATGGTGTGGTAGGGCTGCCTGTGGTGGGGCAGTCTCCAGGAAATGCCACACCTGTGCCTCCCCAGTGAAAGTTGAGGATGGGGTGCCAGAAAGCCTCAGTCCCTGCTGCCTTGTGGATACCCTGTGGAGGGGAAAGTCTCGGAGAGCACACTCTGACAGAAAAGCACAGGGCTCAGGTCCACTAGGTGGGGCCTGCAACAGGGCCAAAGTCCATCTATTGGGACCTGAGGCCCAATGGGCATAAGGCCCAGCAGCTCAGTAAGGAGGGCAGAGCAGTAGCCCCAGTGAGGGGGTGGGGTGGTTGCTGGAGGCCATGTAGGGTAGGGTCCATGGGGACCTGAAGGATTGCATGTAGGTTGGCCAGAGTTGAGGCCTCAATGAGGGGGATGAGTGGCTGCTGGAGGCTGCATAGAGTAGGATCTCCGGGGGCCTGAAGGACTGCTCATGGGCCAGTTGGAGCAGAGACCCAATGAAGGTGGAAGAGTTGAGGCCCAATGAGGGCAGAGTGGAGGCCCCAGTGTGGCCAAGCTAAGGGGCTAGAGGAGTGATAGTGGAATTGGAAGCCATCTGCAAGGCATGGGACACAGTGTAGGTACAGTATGGAGCTGTGTATTATACCCTTGGCATCATTCACAGGAAATGGGCTGTGTGCCAGCTGACCACTGAGGCCATCCCCATCCCCTGTGAGCGGTGCCAGCCTCAGCATTTGGCAGTGCCACTTGCAGCAGACAGGGCCAGGCTCAGTGCTCAGCTGGTGTGGTGCCATCCCCTGCAAGCCCAGTACCACTCGTATGGGACAGGGGCAGGGCTGGGCTTGGCCAGGCTCATCCATTGCAAGTGGCACCAGCAGTGCCACTCTCAGGGGATGGGGCTGCACCAGTCGAGCGCCAAGCCCAGCTGAGTCAAGCCTAGCCCCATCCCTGTTTTGTTTTTTTTGTTTTTGGATGTGGCACGGTGTATCAGTCAAGTTTGATTTTTAAAACCCAGAAATTGGGCTTCAAAACTTGACTTATACACAGTGCAATATGGTACACTGTTTTCTATAACCAGCATAGTTTAGATTGGTAACACAGAGAGCACAAGTTCATCCTTTGGTTGGGGGATGGCAAATCTTAGACTGTGTTTCACCATTCCTAAACCAGTCTGTGGGTGCGTCTACATGAGATGCTACTGCACAGTCCTTACTGTGCATTATTTAGTACTTGCTAATACAAATACTAAATAAATGCGCAGTAACCAGAATTACTGCGCAGTAACGCTGGTAAAGTCTTTTATGTGATGTTACTGCTCAGTAGCCTAATAGTGGGGGAGGAAGAAGGGGGGTTAACCAGTCAGGAGAAGGGGTCAATGGGATAAAAATATTTTCCAGTCCCAGGACTATGCTATACATTCACAAAATCAGGTTAGCCCCTTTCTAGATTGGGTTAACTCTTTCTTGATCTAAGTTAGTGCACCCCAAATTAAAGCCTCTGAACTTCTGCATGATTGGGCATTTAAACTGAACTAACCCTGATTAAGTCAATCTGAATGCAATGCCTGTATGTACCCTCGGTCATCTTAAAGAGTTATATTGAGTTTGTTTGACAAAAACTATATTCCCTAAAACCATAAATCTTAAATGTAATTCTTTTTCAGCTAAATCTCATATCAGCTATATTTATTTTTCCTAGTCAGAGAAATGGGGATGGTCCTGGTTGCTCAGATCTTGCCTTACCGACTTATTGATTGAATGTGGGGACCCTGGCATTTTTTGTTTTATCAACTCTGCTTCATGATGGATGTGTTGCTCTTTGCCAAAAGACATTTTGGCACATTTCTTTCTTTACATCAGCACTTTCTAGAGAAATGAGGATGGTATGGAGGGGCAGTGATTAATAGGAAGTGGGTGTAATCATAGGTTTTGGCACAAGTGAGCAGTTGTAGATGTGTCTACAAAACAGTAGGTAGTTATGGATCTGTCCAATTCAAAGTTTTGCTTCTTTGGTGTACACAGGGCATAACCTCATGAAAATCCATGTGAGCTGTCCAGGTGCATTAGAGGATTCGTCACATCTCGTTATAAAGTATTATGAATAAAATCAATACAGCTTACCAAAGTCTACTTCCATAACCATTTTGAACTGAAATACCCCTTTATGCAATATTATTTATGAAGTACAGTATTTATAAGACAGTGCAGTGGCTTTTTCATAAACCTACCTCAACAAGCAGGGTATTACTAGAACAAGAGCGAGTCTTTGATGAAATATCCACTCATCTGCATCCCAGGCATTGTAACAGATGCTCTTTTTATGGCTATTGTAGCAGGTTGGGGAATCACTTAGTTCAAACAGTCTTTAACAATTCCACTCAGTCCTTTAAACTTCACGCAGCTCTTTATTTTCTTGGGCACACTTGCCTCTCAGGAACCATCTCCAACATAAATCAGAACTCAATAATACATATAGCATAGTCCATAGAAGGTGCACTCACAGTCCTAGAGTCCTCTCCAGCCCCTGAGAAGGTGCCTCCAGCTCCCTGCTGCTCCAGTCACACTGCAGATTTACTTCTTAGTTTGTCTGTGGCTCAGTTTCCTGACATGGAGCTTGCAGTCCTTGGGTCTTCTCTCAGACCATGAGATGTACCCTGGCTTGGTTCTGCCACCACTGGCTTGGTACGTCTCTCTGCTCTGTCTCTTTCAGTCTTCTGTCTCTCTCTGTTCTTTCTTACTTCCTTCCTGATTTCTTTCCTTGGGAGTCTTTTAACTTCCTGTAGCCAGCCAATTATCTGTGTCAGCTGGCCCAGTCCTCCAGGCAGACCTATAATCAGAACCCTTGTTCCTTGCATATTTCCTGGACTATCACAGCTATAACACCATAGGGGGAAGGGGAGGGAAAGAGGGACAGAGACAAGGCAATTAAGTTGTGGCTTACCCTGTAAAAAGTTTGAAGACCATGCAGTATCTGCAGCAAGACAAATACCTTCTGGGACTGCATACAAAAGATGGAAAGGGATTCCTCATTATCCCTGAATAAGTTGCAACCCCTTCTCCAACCTTGCTCAGACAGTGGAAAGAAAGGGAAGGGAAGTGATAATCCTCTTTGAATTTGACAATTAACACCTGTCTAGATTGTTGATTCATGTCCATTTACCAATGCTACCTGGTGGCTTTCAAACTCTTCACACTGGTGATGACATCACCTTAAGATGGCTGAAATAATATGCCAAAACTGCATACACTAAATAAAAATCCTTTTGACACACTGCAGTTCACACAATGTGTGACATGGTTGGAACTTGTACACAAGTGCACTTGTTATTGTGAAGGTCCCATTGATATAGGCTTGAGGCACAGTGACCCTGTCCAGTTTGAAAATGGTTGAGAAGTGCCCAATAATGGCGTGGCCAATTAAATTCTTGGTGATGGACTGTAGGGTTAGTATGGCAGTGGGACCTCCCCCACTGAATCCTGATATAAGCCAGGAGCCCCCCGGAGACATCCCTAACCCTCTCAGTGCATGGGGGAGAAAGAATGAGCCTTTCCCTAGGATAGACACTTACCAGGGAAAGGGCCAGCAGCACAGTGTTGTCGCTGGCATGCTTTATCAATTTAAGCCAGCTCCAGCTGCGCAACTGCATGACCAAACACATCATAAAGGTGTACATTGTCCCAGCTGGGGACAGGGAACCCTGGAGAAGGGAGTGTGGCTGAAAAGAAGCTGACTTCTATCTAAACCTGCCCCAGCAGGGTTGAGCAGAGGAAAGTGGCAGCTGTTCCTCTGTGGAATCTCTTTACTTATTGGAGTTCTTTGAGTGAGGGATGAGGGTTTGTTGGATGGCAGGGAGGGTATTGGGAGGTTCTCTCCACCCTGTGGGAAAGAAGAAGACAACAAACCATGAGTCGGTTGCAATGTGAGGGGAATATTCCCTGGGAACTCTTGAATAAGGGTGTCCCTTTGGACTTTCTTGTTTTTGTTGCTCAAATAGAGTTGCTTACAGAGACTAAGGCACTGGGTGCAGCCTATTGCAAGCCCAGTGGACTGAGTTAAAATCAGGCTATTTGACAGTGCCAAATACACCAGTTGTGAGGACAGGAATACTATGCATCCTTAAGACAAATGACCTGAACAAGACTGATGATATCGGGTTGGTACAAGGATGGGATGCAAGGGGAGGTGGAGCCCCAAGGAACATCACTTGGATAAGAGTTAACAGTGCCTTCCTCTTGCTCTATATTTACATCAAAGCGTGGCGGGCAAAACAAGGGGTGCACACAATTAATTATTGTCCGCCATGTCGAGCTATCAGGTCCTTAAAGTTGACAAGTGGAAGAACGCCCCGCAAAGTGTAGGCAGCCAACTTCAACTACACACAGCTGCTTATAGTTGGAGATGATGTGGTGATTGACTGGTGCTTGTGCTGACCATTCTTCATGCCATCATGTAAGTAAGGAAAAGTCAGAGGATTTTTGAAAGGGTGGACTATATTGGGCACCCTGAGGAGACCTGAGCTGTGGGTGAGTAGAATATGTCCTAGTGCACTGGCAATTTAGGATTATCATAGAGTCTGGCTGGTAAGTTTGCTTTAGCATTTGTGTGGCAGAGATGAGAGGGAGCAATGCTATCAAGGCCTGGAAACCATGGGAGTGGAGTGGGACCCAAGGTGCCTGACACAAGACACATTGTAACATGCAGTTGGGTGTCCACTAGTTTGCTGTGTGATGAGCGAGCCTGTCCAGGGGCAAAGTATTCTGTAACTGAATAATACAGTGCAAGAGCAGGTGAATGTGGCATGGGGGCACTGGCACCTCAAGTGGAGCCTGCAAGTTTGGCAAGTAGGTTATGCCTCGTTTTGATTCTTAAAGCAGTTTTCTGGAGATGTGATTTATAAGTTAGAGTCCAGTCAAGGGTGACTCCATGATAAACTGGGTGGGTTTTGCATTTGAGAAGCTGATCATTTAAAGTGATAGTCTTTGAAATATTTGGTTTGAGTATTTTAGACGGTACTCTGACATTATCTCATGTCTCCAAGTGTGAGTTCCACCCTTGAAAAGTCATGAGCTTGGGTGGCAAAGGCACTGCCATCAGCATAAACAAATTTTTGTGGGCCAGTCACAGGCAGGTGTTTAATGTACAGGTTGAAAAGGAAAGGCACCAGGCTGATCCTTGAGGGAGGTCATTTGTTTGTCTCCGAGAGCTAGTTTGGTTGGCCAGGTGGACTCTAAAGCGTCAACCATGTACTAATAGTTCAACTAGATGAGTGGCCCAATGTGGCAGAATTCCTGATATTTTCTCCAGAACACCAGTATGCCAGACAGTAGCATATGCTGTTGTTAAATCAAGGAAAACAATACCTATCTTAAGGATTAACACGGTGAAGCTCACTTTCTTGGAGTGAGACTCCATTGAAATCATTTGGGACTTCACTTCATTGGAACCAAGGGAGTTGCTACGGGTAGTTGGGGTCAGCAACCTGCACATGAACTGATGCTACACATTGTTTAGCTGTAACTGTAGGCAAAGGCAAATGCTGTTCAATCTTGTTTCCAAACCAGGGGAAGATTTTGTTTCTGAAGAGGTGCCAACCCTGTTTACTTCTTGCCTGTGCTTGCTGAATGGCAGGTGTGCTTCAGCAGCCTCGATTGCCACTGCCAGTTGTAAGTTGTGGGTGTTTGTTGTGATGTAGGCAAGGTTATAAGGGGAGATGCTTTATAAATCAGCACATTATGACACAAATTCAACTGTGCATACAGAGCAGGTGGAAAACTTCTAAAGACTTGCAGTGAAAAATGAAATAAAAACTTATGTTCCCTGTGGAGCACACAGCTTTTTCTATGGTACCTCTTATATACTCAGTACTGCTGTGACTGAGGTATGTAGTATATTTCCAGCAAAGTGGGGATGGGGAATCCAGTAGTTTTCAGCCCAGGAAACTAAACTGCATAGCTAAACAGTAAAATCTGTTGATGTAACAGGTTGGAAACCTATGGCCCATGAGTTGGCTTCAGCCCACAGAGACATTTTATCTGATCCATGGAGTTAGGAGGATTCTGGGGCATTTTGGCACTGGGGGCTTTGGTGACATTTCTGTTGTGAGAAACTTCACTAGCATGGCCACTGAGAAGAAGGGAGACTCAGTGCTGGTATCACTATAGACGGGGAGTGGCTCTGGCTCCAGCTCCGGCTCTGGCTCCAGCAGCAGTGGCATGGGCTAGGTTGGTAGTAGTATGCACACAGAGTTAAGATCCTTTAAAGCAGCCCACCACTGCAAAACATGGGTGACCCTTGATGTTGAAGGTAGACTAAAGAAACCTTCAAATTCTCAACAAAAGTTGCAAATATTTAAAAATAACAATTTTAGAGTCTTATGACTAAAAATATGCATCACCAGGTTTTGAAGCAGGTGTTGGAGATTTCCAGAACTGCATGTATGGATTGCTATTATTATGTGGTGCTTTTCTTGTCTGAGTAATTGCAAATACTTCCTGTGGCATTTTGAAACTTTTCAAGGAAACTTTGCTTGATTCAGGGGTCTGGGGCTCTGAAGTATTTAATTTGCTTTTGTACAAAGTGCCAGATTGAAATTTGCCTTAAGATCTGCTCCCCAGTGGTTAGGCTGCATTAGGGATCTCTTCATTATGGCTCGGATATGGAGTAGGAGGTAGACGACAGCATGGATAGAGACCTCAAGCAGAGCAAATGTGAAATGATGGAGAGGTTCAGGGAACAGGTGGAGTTTGAACTCTGCTATACCAGTCAATTAAAATGGTCTGGCATATGAGGCAAGGGAGAGGACTCTGTCTTTTCAAGGGCTTGTGTAAGACCTTATTTATATAGAAAGTTTTCTCAATGTAAATTAAAGTGCAATTTTATACTGATACTAGTATACTGAGAACTTAGAACAGAATAATTATACCATATAATTGTACTGGCACAACTGGCAAGTTTCACATACAGACATGACCTAAATTTCAATCTGCCCAGTTCAAGAAGACACAGGAGCAGGTAGGGTACTGTGACAACCCAAGGGTCTGTCTGTACCATTATCACTATTTTATAAACAGGCTGTTGCTCCCATGCAAACTCTTACTATAGATTTACTGTTCTGATATCAAACTGGCTAGTACTATGATAGCTTATCTAAAATTACCATAGCAATTTTGCAACATGCTGCATTTTGCACAAAAGCAGTGTGTCCTCATTACGGATTTGCACTGGTGTAACTGTGTTGTTGTATCTGCACTGGTGTAAATTTCTCTAGTCAGCACTACCTTTTGAGTTACAAACCGTTCCCAACCATACAGTTGGTCCTATAAAATATATCACCCACAAAAATCCTTGCCTCTAACAAACAGTTTTCTATTTTTTTCCTGCGGTATCTATACCATTTCCCTTACTCGGAGCTTATCTTTACAGCTCAGTCTGCCTCCTGTTGGCTTTTGATAGCTCTTTATATATTTTCAAATGTGTAATAGCCAGAATAAATGTGATTGTTACCAACAAAAAATGAAATTCTGCTTTGTGTGTGCTGCTCACTTATGCTCCAGATCACTTGTGCAGTGTATTTTTCTGTTTAAATGGTTAATGAAAATGTAATATAGGCTTACCTGGAAGAAAATGCTGCATCCTTTTGTCATCTCTGTTCTACATGCCATTCAACCCACACATAAGGGCTCAGCCTGTCTTTGCCGTCTTTTATATAATTCTGTTAAAATGAATGGCATGTCCACCTCTTAGATCCATTTACCACAGGTACCTGAATCTTTTTAGTTTGCAGAGACAACAATTTGTCCAGATAAAAAAACAATCTGTGCTAGTCCAGTCAATAACAAAAGAAAAATTGGCTCAGTGACTCAGCTGTCAGTGCTGCATTCCACAATATAGAGAGAGAATCTGGGCTTGTGAATAACTTTAAAACTCCTGCTCTTCAAATAGACACTGTTAGCTTTGCAGAGGTGACTTTCTCAGGCTCCAGTTTGAGGACATTGATATTTGTGGTCCTTCCTTGGGTGTTTGCCCATGTGGAACCCACTCCTGGTACCATTGGTTCCCAAGTGAAGTCTCTGAATAGCAGCATCCACTGGGCCATGAATACTCTGAAGGTCCCTGAGCCCTCCCTCAACCAGCCACAAATGTCCCCCAGTTCTTTCTTGCCTCATGGACAGCAAGACTGAACTAGGCTGTGCATGTCTGCTATTCTTTATCATATTCTCTAAACCTATCCTCACCTAACTAACAAAGATTAACTCCCAAGAAATCTCCCCTGCTCTTTTTTCCCTTAATTTTTCATCCTTTTTTGTACAGAACACAAAACCCTTTTTATTTTCTCACTATTTTGCACAGCAGGTATTAAAAATGGCAGATTCAAAGCCCACTTGCTTCAAACCATGCCATATTATGATGGATTAATTCCCCTTACAGAAAGTCATAGCTGTGGCCTGTTCTGTCTTAGCAAGAGCCATATGCTGACCACTGCTCCATCTGCCCATTATGCTTCTTAAGAATGAGAAACTCTAGAGACTTCCATTAAAAAAGTGTCTTCTGAAGCCATCAAACAGAGAGCACATGTAATGCAAAATAATGGCATTAAGTTCCAAGATGGGACTTTTAACTTCCACTCTGTCCACTGGGACGCAGCTCCAAGTGCTGGTATGAGTAAAAAGTTGGACCAAACATGGTTTTCAGCATCAAACTTTCACTACTAAAAATGGAGAACTAAGAAGGCTAAAAGAGCAACTTACTTCCATTCTCCTATGGAGAAACTAAACACACTATCCTTTCAGATGACAGAGACAAGTGATATTGGTTCATTCTCCAGCCCAGCACCCAAAGGCCTCATGGATAACCCAGCCCTTAGGTCATATGCTGAGTTCTTGATACTGAGACATCATAGTAAGCTGGGTTCCACAGCTGAGGCATTAATGGCCTCAGTTAATTTATTGTTGATGAAAAGTACTTTCCTCTCCAGTATTGCCCTTAGTGCCAACGTGCTTCATTGTGCACCAGGTCTGCTTATCTGAGCTCCCAGTACCACTATTAGAAGTGATCTCTTCTTCCCCTTCATCTCCTAGCCATTCCTGCCATCCAGCCAGGAACCTTCATCCAGTCACCATGATCCAGAGGTTGGCCATGCCTTCAGATCTGGATGCTCATTTCAAGGGCATAAGTTATCCAACCCAGAGATGCCAATGGGGTGAGAAACATAGGTTAAGCAACAAGTGCAACTACTATAGTCCTACTGGTTTACTGTTACACTCCAACCCACAGATGAGTAGGTCTGTTTCCTAAGTGTCAGGAAGACACAGAAGGCTTCAAGACCCCTCTCCTGATAGAAGTGCTTTGGGGCTGGGATAAAGAAGAGGCAGGTACTGAACCAGTAGACTTTTACCTTTCAGTTTCTTTCCAGGACCCACTATCACCATCTCCCAGTGATGCAGATTCTTCAGTGCTGATTTCAGTCGTGGATGATTTGAGGTCATTCCAAGAGCTGCTGTCTTAAATTGGAGAGATGGTTAGCCAAATGAATGGAAATTATGACCACATTGATGAAGGAAAAGGCCTCCAATTTATTTGATATTGTTCATTTTCACTGCTCTGGACAATTTAATTATACCTATGAATGTTGGCAATTTGGAGCCATTTAAATATCTTTCAGACTCCTGCTACCTTTACTCAAACTTCAAAGTCAGTGGAAGGAGGGATATAAAGTTCAATGGAGAGTCTTTGCACAATTTGGCAAATTTCATTCCCCGATCAGGAGAGACACAGCTGGGCCCAGGGTCAGAGAGGATCTAGTTAGGGACATGTTCAAATCAGCAGGTCCAGATGATCTCCACCCACGGGTGCTGAGTGAATTGGCAGAGGCCAGTGTGGGACACCTGGCACAGTTCTACAAGCACTTGTGGTGCTCTGGCAAGGTGCCGGAGGATTGGAAAAGGGCCAGTGTGGTCCCCATTTTCAAAAAA